GGGGGGCGGGTAGCGAGGGGGAAGTTATATAGTCTAAGTACTGAAATGTATCACTTTCAGATTTAAAAACTAATATTTTCCTTATAAAATGGCCAATTTATTTCAAGAAATAAACATATCAAAAGCATAACTATTTTAAGATAAAAATTATAAGTCAAATGGTTTATATAAAAGAAATTTCAGATGTTAAAGTAATAGCAGCATGGGACTTCCCTGGTGGCGCAGTGGTTAAGCATCTGCCTGCCAATGCAGGGGACACGGGTTTGAGCCCTGGTTCGGGAAGATCCCACATGTCGGGGAGCAACTAAGCCTGTGCACCACAACTACGGAGCCTGCGCTCTAGAGCCCGCGAGCCACAACTACTGAAGCCAGCGCGCCTAGAGCCCAAGCTCCGCAACAAGAGAAGCCACCGCAATGAGTAGCCCGCGCACCGCAACGAAGAGTAGCCCGTGCTCACCACAACTAGAGAAAGCCCACGTAGCAACGAAGACCCAGCGCAGGCAAAAATAAAATAAAATAAATATATAAAAAACTAAACAAAACACACATTAATACAGCATCAAGCTGCCCAGGAAGAAAGCTTTAAATTCTTTACCAACAAAAACAAACAAAATACACTCCCATATACTATTACCTTATTTAAAACTTCAAAGGATAAATTAAGAAGGTATCTTAGTCTGTATTTCTAGTCAAGCAAAGTATAACTGCTTAGATTGTATAGTCAAGCAAGGTATAACTGCTTATTGTTGGCAATACATTTTCATACCCTAACACACTTGCTTCTCATTACATCGCTTAGGATAGAAATTATTATTCCCATTTTCACAGGCTCAGTTTACAATATCCATCCAAGGTTTGTAATGCTTTGTAAATTTAAGATTTAGAACACAAACCAAAATTCTATGGAGGGTGGATTATGAATAAAAAGCATAGCAACAATAAGGGAGATGGTACTTCCTAGACCCACTTAATAGAATGGCAGGTTTATGCACTGTAGTTGGGAAATAAAGATTGGAAAGATTCAATGGCGTCCAATTTTATAGGTCCTAAAGACCGGCTCAGAGAGCTAAATTTTATTCCAGCTAGTGAAAAGCACCCAGGGTTTTTGAATAGGGTATGATACGACAAAGCAAAATTAAACTTGCAGCAAAGGGAAGGAAAACATTTATTGAGCACCCATTAGCATGGTTCCAGGCAATTTATGTTATAAAAAGCTAGAGACAAGGGGCGAGACATGAGATGATAAGGGCTGATTCATAAAGTGTAAAAACCCTCAATTCTATACTGAAACAGTGTAATTCAGGGGGGTAAATGGTACAGCCTAGTCAAAATTTATTATCTTTCTAATGAGAGAAAACAACACTGATGACCTAAACATCAGGAGTATCCAATGTTTAAAAATAGCCTTACCTTAGATCAGGTGATTCGGCCCTCCCATATTGATCCTGCCACTTCCCAACGCTTGAATTGGCTTTTTTGGAGGCAGTACTTGTCTGAGACTGAGAAGAGGTGCTGTTTCTGGTGAGATAAATTTTCTATGTTTTTTCTTACATACTGTTGTCTCTGACCCCCCTTGTTCTGTTTCTTTTTTCCTTGGCATGCTTTTTCTAAAGTCCTTTAGCATGTTCTGATAGTATCATTCTCTTCAAGTTATATGAAATACTTGTTGTGGAACTAAGACTGCTAGTGGTATTCAAATATAGATGCCTTTGTTATCAACATTTTATTAATTCTAGAATATTTTTAGAAATACTTCTCAACATAGACAGTATGATGTCAAAATGCAGAAATGAGAAAAGAACCAAAGGCTTACTTCAGGTTATATATATTATCCAGAAATAAATTTCAGTGCTTTTACATATTAATAACATTAATTTCTGCAGTTTCATAAAACCTTATTTGAAATGTTGGTATTTCTTTCCC